TCAGTCCATGTCCACCTCCTCCGCCTCGGGCGCGCCGGGGCCCCCTGCGCCGCCGGGCTCCGGGCCCCCGGGCTCCCCTGCGGGGCTGGGCGCGCGCGCACCGGACCCCGGCGGTGGCGGCGGCGGGGGCGGCGGCGGCGGCGGGGGCGGCGGCGGCGGCGCGAGCGTCGGGGGCGGCGGGACGGCCGAGCAGGCGGGCCCCGGGTCCGCTCCGTCGCCGCCGTCCGCGCCGCCGCCCTCGGCCGCCGCGTCCCGGAAGGACGCCGGGACGGTGGCGCCCGGAGAGGCGGCGGCGGCGGCGGCTTCGGGCCCCGGGAAGGCCGGGAAGCCGGCGGGCGGCGCGGGCGGCGCGTCCTTGGGCGCCGTTTCGGGCCCCGCGGCGCCCTTGAGCGCGGCCTGCGGCACCAGGAAGCCCAGCGGCTGCGTGATGGGGTAGAGCAGAAAGTGGCCCTTCCCGATGAGGGTCCGAGGCGCGCACGGCAGCCCCGGCGCGAAGTCCAGCCCCGCGGCCGCGGCGGCGTTGGCCGGGCCGGCTTTCCGGCGCGGTGGCGAGTCAGACAGGAGGCTCTCCACGCTGAACGGGCTGGCCTTGGGCAGGGCGGCCGCCCCGCGTTCCGCCGCCGCGCCGGGCGCGCACGGTGCCGTGTCCTTGTCGGCGGGGCGGCCGGGGCGGGCGGCGGGCGCGCCGGCGCCGCTTCTTTGGCTCGGGTAGAAGGCGGGGTCGCAGGTGCCGGGCGCTGCGGGCTGCTCGCCAGGCGCTGCGGGCGCGCCCGGGCCCTTGGCGGCGGCGGCGGCGGCGGTGGGAGGCGGCGGCTCGGGCGGCTCCGGGGACAGGCCGCCGCCGCCGCTGTCGCTGTCTGAGCTGGGCGCGCTGTGAAGAGACAGACCGCCGGGAGAGTGGAGATGGCGGCCCTGAGTCTTGAGTAGCTTCTTCTCGTGCTTGCGCTTCTTTTTCTCCATCTTCTCCAGTTCTTTGCGTGCGATCTCCTCGGGGTCCATGGGTTCGCCGCTGCACGTGGTGGGGTGCGAGTTGTGCGCCGGCCGGCCCGGGCCCTTCTTGGTATTCTCCTTCTTCCTCCACTTGGCCCGGCGGTTCTGGAACCAGACCTAGAGCAGCCGCAGAGGGGAAAGGAAGGCAGAGTCAGGCAGCGGCGGGCCCGGGGGCTCGGGCCTCCCGCGTCCCCCGGCACAGGCCGCTGCACATCCGGGCTCTCTCCCGGGCCTCGGGTCCCAGCGCTGCGTCACCCAGAAGAAGTGTGGACGGGGCCTCGGGCCAGCTTCCCACTCCGCAGCTCACCTCTGGAACCTGGGGGCTGCCCCTTTCTTGCACAGGGCCTCTGCTGTGGCCCTGACCCAGGGCAGCGGGTTCCTGGGTGGAGACGGAGGGCAGAGCCCTCTTCGGACGGACTTCTGCATGCGGAGCTCGCGACTAGCCCCAGGCTGCGGTGGTGGGGCCGGCGCCCTCCATACCTGTCTTCAGGGTTCCCATGAAGGGACTCGCTGGGCTGTGTCTTGCAGAAGGACTTGGCCAGTACCACGGTCGCCCGTGGCTCCATCACCCTCCCCAGCGCACTCCTCCCTTCCGAAGGCCTCTGCCAGGAAGTGTGCTGCAGCAGGCAGCAGGAGTGTGAGACCCGCTAGCAGGCCTTCCGCACCAGAGGCCCTGCCTCTCCCACCTTCGCTGCAGGCCTCACTCTGGGCATCACCCCGGGTCGAAGGCACAGCAGCCCCTGACCAGCTCCACCGCCACAGGCAGTCCAGGCCCTCACCAGCTCCCGGTGGTCCGAATTCTTTGTTTGGCTCTTTAGAGCAGGGCAGCATAGCAGGCTGGCCAGCCAGGACTCCAGTTTGGATTCTGCTCTGGCTGCAGCTGAAGCCACTGACCTCCCCTGCTGTAACCTCACCCCTCCTTTTGAAAATACCCTCTTTCTTGAGTTGCAAATCCCAGATGGTTTTGCCACCAGGAACCCACCCCCATATCATATTAAAACGAACAAAGACGCATCCAAGAGACTTGAAACAAATGGACAAAACGGGTAACAAGGGTAACGGGGCACCTCCTCGGACAAAGCTCCGACCTGGCCGGCTGGCACCACCATGAGTCTTGGCAAAAAATAGCCCCGCACTGCAGGAACGCGGCGAATCGCCCCACGGCCCGCGAACCACCGAATAGCCAGCTGTGTTTGGAGGAGCTGGGCCTCGGGATGGGCTCGAATTCTGGGGTAGCGGCAGCGACGAGCACCGCCGCCCCGGGAGGGATGGGGCCGGAACCTCTATCCCTCCGTGTGTGGCCTCTGGACACGCGTCCATCACACTTCCATAGGAGGTGGAAGGCAAAGCCACCGGCGCGCCCGCTCCAGGACGCAGCGCCGCTTCCTTCCGGCGCGCGCCAGGACACCGACTCCCCGCGTCTTGCGCGGCCGCCGCCGCCCCTGCACGGCAGAGTCCGTGTCCGGCCCGCGAGCGCCAGCCGGCTCGGAACAGAGGCGCGCGGGGCGCCGGCCCGCCGGCGCCGGACTTTTACCTGCACTCGGGATTCGACTAGGTCAAGGCGCAGCGCCAGCGCCTCGCGCATGAACACGTCGGGGTAGTGGCTCTCGTTGAACGCCTTCTCCAGCTCCTCCAGCTGCCAGCCCGTGAAGTTGGTGCGGGTGCGCCGCCGCTTGCAGCCCGGGCTCTCCTTGTCCGGGTCCCCCGAGTCTGCGGGCACGCACAAGACGCCGCGCGGCTCAGCCTCGGCCGGTCCCGGGCGCCGCCCGCCCGCCCGCCCGCCCCGCCGGCTCCCGGGCCTCCGGGACGGGCCCGCACCCCTCCCGCGCCCCGCGCCCGCCGCGCCCCGCCCGCCGCGCCTACCTGAGAGCTTGAACGGCTGGCTGTCCCCGCCGACCCCGCAGGCGGCCGGCAGCAGCGGCGTGGGGTTGACCACCGAGGCGGCGGCGGCGGCGCACGAGCCGCTCAGGAGCCCGTCGATGGAGAAGGGCACCGAGGCGGCGGCGGCGGCGGCGGCCGTCTGGAGCTGGTGGCCGGCCAGCTCGTACACGTGGTGGTGGCCCAGCGGGTAGGGGAAGCCCACCACGCCGCCGAGCGAGCCCCCGAACTGGGCGTGCGGGTGCTCCAGGAGGCGGCCGTCCATCATCTCGCGCGGGGGGCCGGCGGGGCCGGCGGCGGCGGCGGCGGCGGCGGGGCGCGGGGGCGCGGGCCGGGGCGGGCCGGCGGCGGGAGGCGCGGGCGGCGGCGGCGGCGGCGACAGGCACCCGGAGCCCTGCACATGCTTCGCCCGCGCTCCGGCGCTTTACTTTATCAACATCAAGCTCCAGATAATTAGCCGCGGCCCGGGGAATTTGGGACCAATAAGAAGCGCTAATCGGCTCTGACGTCAGAGGCGTGCTGGGTGCAAGGAAACGTTTTCCATATCGATTGCTAATTATACCTGACATGCACCTCAATAAACAGTATCAGCAACTGTCACAACAAGCGGGCGGGGGGGGGGGGGCGGGGGCGCGCGCGGGCGCGGGGCGCGGGGCGCGGCCGGGCAGGGGCCCCGGGCGGAGCCCCCGCCCGCAGCCCCGCTGGCTGGCGCGAGCCGCCGCCTCCCCCGCCGCCGGCTCCCGCCCCCTCGCAGATAACTAATAGATTTCCCTTTAAAACATTCGCCCGCGTGTTGTGGGGATTTTTCACCAGAAATGCTGTACTCTCTGAACCTTTAAAGTGATGTTGCTCCAATTACAGGGAGACATTGAGCGGCAAATAGACTGATCCAATAATAGGAGATTCATCATCCGCTCTTTCCGAAACTGTCACATTGAATTTAAAACTACAAGGGGCTTCTCATCTCCTCTCGGGCTGCAGGCGGCGGCGGGCGGGCGGCGGGAGAGGCGCGGGGAGGTCGAGGAGGAGGAGCAGGAGGAGGAGGAAGAGGAGGAGCAGGAGGACGGAGAGCCGGAGGAAGAAGAGGAGGAGGAGCAGGAGGAAGAGGGGGAGGACAGCAGAGGAGAAGGAAGAGAAAGAGGAGGAGGAGCAGGAGGAGGAGAAGGGAGAAGAGGAGGAAAGGAAGAGAGTGATTCCAAGGGAGAGGGGCGGGGTGAGGGCCGGTCCAGAGTCTCCCAAATGCTCCGGGGTGGACTGGCAGCTGCCTCTGAACTCAGGGATGAAGGGGCGCTCAGGAGGCTTCTGCTGCCTCCACTCCACATCCTAAGCCTCCTAAAGCCAGGGCCCAAGACAGAGAAGGCCATGGAAAGAGGGAGGAAGAGTAACTTTGGGGGTGCCAGCCAGGCCGGCCTTTACTCACGAAGCTGAGAATAAACGCGCCCCGCCCTGGGAGAGCAGGGCCAGTAACCAGCCCCCGGCTTATAATTAAATCGTGTTCTCAGGGAAGGGACACCCTTTCTCGGGATAAAGTATCCCGAGAATCTTGGAGGGGCCAGGTTCTTAAATAATCAGAAAATTCGGCTGCGCGCAGGAGGGAGAAGCTCCTGCCCTCCACTTGGCAAAGTTCCCCCCACTTTCTGCTTCAGCCCCAGGTGCTCAGCTTGTGAGGGCCTCTGGCCCCTGGGCAGTGCGACTGACCACTGGGTTTGGAGCCTGCGGCAAAAAGGGAGAGGGAGAGTGCAGCATACAGAGACAGGAGTCCTAGACCACTGTCCGGGTGTCCTGGTCCCTGGGTGAGAACCAGGAGGGGCCCTCGCCGGGGCAGCAGTGGGGAGCTGAGGTGGTGCCAGCACCGGCTCTGCCCCAACCTGCCCGGCGCAGACCCTGGTTGAGTGTCACCGATGCAGCCCCAGGGTCGCGACCAAGTGTGACTTAATGCCCCTTTCTTCCTCTTCTCAAAGAGGAGGCAAAGGCAGGTTGGAGGCCACGCCAGGCCCCAGTAGGGGCCAGTGGGATGGAGCAGCAATCCTGGGTTTGGGGACCCGGACCCACCCTCCCTCCCTCCTTTCCAAGTACACTAGGGAAGCGCTGCAAGTATTAATTTCGAGGTCAGGGGCCAAGAGCGCTCCTTT